GCAAAAGTACTTTTCTTAGACCAACCAGCTTTGTCAATAATGACTGATATAGGTACTGCAGAGGCTTTTGCCTTAGAGGTAGCTGCAGCTCTAACACTGTGAGAGCTAAATGTATAAGTGTCTATACCAGCTCTACTCATAACAGTTTTTATCCATCTTGCTACTGTGTCTCTTGCAACATTATGATGTGGTTTCATGTAACTTATTAACAAACGTGCACAGTTCTTGTCATTTCTCATGACTTTCGTGCGAAACAAATATTCCTTCAATACAGTATACACACAAAGCCTCCTGTCTGGAGGGTAGGCCTTAAAAGATACTGAAACAACATTATAACCTGGCCTATTTTGTTTTAAAGAACCATCTAACTTGAACAAAAACTCAGTTCTCAATTTTTTATAACCTTGAAAACTTAACAACTGCAAAGTTTGTGTACGTGCAGCTTGAGTCAGAGCCATGAGCATCACTAGCTTTAATGTCAAATCTTTGAGAGTTATATGCTTAACAGGAGAAAGTTTCCTCAAATATGTCAATACTCTTTCAACATCCCACACCTCTGTGTATCTGGGTTGTGATGGTCTGGCTGCAAACACACCCTTCATGTATCTGATAATTAATGGGTGATTTCCAATTCTGAATCCATCAAAGTTTATTCCTAAAGCTGAGAGAGCTCCATGTGCAGCGTTCAAACTCTCATAACCCAAACCTTTATTAAATTGTTCAGTTAAAAACTCGATTACTGCTTCCAAAGTTGGCGAAAGTGGAGTACTCGTCCTTTTACTACAGTACTGAAACCACCTGTTAATGTGTGTGTTATATTGTTTTTGTGTCCCTGTTTTCCAAGACAACATAAGTATTTTGGTAGAGTCCTCTGAAAATCCTCGTTCTCTGAAACTATTCCTGACACTTTGCAAGCAATCAGTCTTAATTTCCCTTCCAAAGGGTGTTTCAACTGCAGGTGAGGAAGTCTTAAAAGATCCTTCTTTTTCTGTATTATGACTGGTTTCTCCACCAACAATTCCATCAGTCTCGGAAACCATGCTTGTGTGGGCCACATTGGTGCTACAATGATTCCCTTGGCTCTGTCCTGTCTGACTTTCTGCACACAGTTTCCCAGTAAGCTAAAAGGTGGAAACAAATAAACTGAGTTAAAAGTTTCCCAGTCAATGGTAAAAGCATCAACAAAAGAGCAGTTTGGATTAGGCTTCCATGAACAATATGTTTCTACTTGACCATTTATTATAGATGCAAAGCAGTCTATATCTGGGATTCCCCAAAAATTACATATCTTATGAAAAATCTTGCTGTCTAATTTCCATTCAAGATCATCCTTGAATTCTCTGGAAGCCTTATCTGCTGCCTCATTATTTTTGCCAGCTATATGTGTACATGTTAACCAGACATCATGTGATATACACCAAATCCATATGTCACATGCTACTTTATTACAGTTTTCAGAAACTGTGCCTCCCATGTTGTTAATGTATGACACTGCCGTAGTGTTATCTGACATCACCTTAATATGCTTTGACTTAAGATCACGTTTGAGGGACTTGAGTGCATTCAAAATGGCCATTAATTCTAATACATTAATAGGCAATTTACCCTCTACATCCGTCCATCTACCCCCAATATTATTGTTTTTATAACTTGCACCCCAACCTAAAGTGGATGCGTCTGTATGTAAAGTCTCTGAGGGGTTTGGTCTAGCAATAACCCTATGCTGGGATTTCAAGTTGACAATCCACCAAATTAAATCTGACCTCATACTGTTTGATATTATCATGGGTGCATCATAGTTACCCTTCGATTCTTGTAAAGCCTTAATCTTCCTATAGTACAGTTTGCCATAATCCACAGCTGAAAAACTTGCTACTAACAACCCAATGACTCTCACCACTTGTCTAATATTTGCCTTTGAAACCTTATACAACTCTTTGCATGCAGAAATTATTTTCTCCTGCCTGTCAAGTGGCAGTGTTACTATCATTTTGTCAGAATCAATAACATTTCCCAAAAATTTTAACTTGCTTGTTGGTCTCAAAACTGATTTGTCTTCATTTATGATGAAACCCAATTTAGACAGAAGTGTAACTGTTGCATTTAAGTTCTCCGTACATTCTAAATCATCACTGCCAATTATTAAACTGTCATCAATGTACCCTGAACTAACATAACATAAACTTCTCAGTTTCCCAAAAACTGGTTTAAGAAGTTTTGTAAACAATCGCGGGCCTTCACTGACCCCATTGGGTAAGCAAGTATATTGGTAGATTTTATCCCTCCACTGGAATCTAAAAAATTTTTGCTGTTCATCTGCAAGTTTAATTGAATAATAAGCATGACGGATATCGACAGACCCCATTTTTACATTTTTGGTTATCAATGGTAGGGTTTTCTCAAAGGTTTCCATCTTAAAATGCTGATATGGAATGAACCGATTTAATTTCTTTAGATTCAGAATTAATCTGTATTCACCATTTTCTTTTGGATGGATCATACTGATTTAACACAACATCACAGTCATTTTCATCTAGCCTGTTTGCATTTATCAACAAAGTAACAACTTTCTTCATCTTGACCCTACATTCATCTGGATGGGGGACCATTTCTTTGGGGTTCAGGGCAGAAAGATTCCTCACTAGAGAATAGGAAATTGGACATTTGGTCAGCATGTGCTGAGTGGTTTTAACCAAGAAGTCCTTGCACTGCATTCTAAAGTCCATCACATTTCTGTCACTTGGCTTTAAGGGTGCAGCTACATGTTGTGCTTCTTTTAGTGCTTTCTCTGTTAAAACACCAAGGTCTACTTTGCTGTAGCTGAGGTGATTTTGATCATCACTGACATCTATCTTTGAAAGCTGATCCACATTTCTGCATGCTGTGAGTACTTCTTTTTTGATGAACCTTCTCATCAGAGCCTTCACTAAACCTGCTAAGTCAGCAGACAAGAAAGGGACCATAGGTTTATCCGTCTGGTAAGAAGCCAGAAAAGGCTGAAGGTGGGCTGATACACATTTGAAAAACTGCATTTTGGCCTTGATGAACTTGTCATTAACAGCTTCCTTCACAACACTAAATGATGTGTTTACAGGTTTGGTCACCTTTCCGCTCTCAGCTGCCTTTACATATTTTTCCACGTCTTGCCACACTGAAAATGCCCTGTCACAAACGGGCACATTCTCAAGCCACCTGTGGCTGCAAAATTTCAATGGAAAAACACTGCTCCCAGTAACTTTTGAGTAGTCATCCCTCCTTGCAGGAGAATCATGAAACAAATAGTACAAACTTTTGAAAACATCATCAATTTTCCATTTCGACGCGACACCACCAGCCTTGAAACTATTGTGAACTATATGTAGGCCACAGGAGCCAATGTTTATTATTGAAGAATCGTAATCATTGGACAATGTCCTTTTAAGAATGTCAATGAATTTCCAGTTAACATTTGGTCCATCCATGCTTACTTGGATCATATTCCTAATGTCAAGTCCACTTTCTAAAACTCCCTTGCTAAAATGTGTCATCATGTCCTCAGCAGTAGAATGGCCTAAAATATAAAAGTTTTTTCAAAACAAATTAGGACTTATCTGAAAATTAATTTCTTGTTTCTCTTCATTCAATTCCAATTTTGACACTTTTGCAGTATTTATCCCCACCATATAACTCTGTGATATTCAATGTTTCTGCTACTCAGATAAATTAATTTAGCAATTCATTTACTGATTTTAATTTTAACTAATTTTACATGAAACTAAGCCTTCCAGATAAAATGAGACCCAAGGCAGATTTGCTGTAATCTCACAGGTCAAGGAACTTAAAGGTTTATTTAAAAAAAGATTTTAAAAAATATGTTAGCAAATTTCCAAGCTAATTTATTTGAACAGCAAAGACATTGGCCAAAGTCACCACATAATTTTATTTTGATTTGCATTAAAAATTAGTTACAGGGTGAAAGGGAGAGGGATACTGCAAAGTTACCCAAATTTTCTCATTAAAATGGTAATATAATTATAAATAGTAAATACTTTTCATGGAGTTTATTTCAAAAAAAAAAAAAAAAAAAAAAAAA